CGACTCAACTGTACTCGCCTTATTTGGTTTTCCATTGGCAAATGTAGTACCCAGTACCATTTTCAGTATCACCTCCATTGCGGTTCCATCACATATCACATATGCTAACATTAACTACCAGGGTACTGAACAACTCTTGCATTGCCTTTGAGCAACCATAATCATCTCCTCCAAACTCTGATATCCTCTGGTATTTATCAAACTCTCTTTGTTTTATTTTTTTTCTCCTGGAGTCTTTTATCTTGCTACCATTAGCCTCTTCTGAACAAAATTTGACTCCTTCATGTCATGGCAGTTTCATGTGGCACCACTTTGAGGACCAGCTACATTGAGGGGGTTTTATATCTGCAGTGGAAAACAAAGTAGCTGGTACCAAAAGTGAATAGAGGCTAGGCCTATTTTTTGTAGAGACAAAGTAGCATCATATGCAGTGAACACAGTGTTCTGACTAGTGGCTAGGTAATGTTTGTTTCTATATGGCTGTAGAAGCTTTATGAAATTACACTGTTACAGTTTTATAATGTCCTTAACTAAGAAACAGTATCAAATCTGTTTTGATCATGTCTGGCCAATATCCAGCCTATTATCAAGTTTTGTATTAATACACATACTGATCCAGTGTATTGGATTACTAACTCCATTAACATTAAGAAGCTACATATTCTCTTTAACACCACAATACATCCTATAGCAGCAAAAAACAAATCTTTTTTTTGATGTTCAAGACATGTCGGTCACTCCCCAGTCCATACAGTCCATATATGAAAATTACAAAGAGAGTCCATTTTGAATTCACTGGCTTTGTGTTGTGCATTCACCTAATTTGCTTTTATCCACCTGTTCAGCAGTTTAGCCCCACCCATTTATGCTAAAGTTGTAAGCAGTGTTCCAGCCCAGACTGATTTATCAATGAAGCAGCCAATCACAACAGTGGCCATTTATATACATAGGTCTAAAAGGAACAGTATCAAAAACAGCCTTTTTAATTAATAGAGATAAAGGGAGGTTGAAACATTTAAAAATGAATTATAATGTTTTTTAACGACGTTAAAGCTACATATTATAAGTCAACAACTCAAGGAATATGAAAAATGTAGAACATGAGCCCTTTAAGGTTCTGTCTACTGATATCTGAAGTGCATATCACTGCTGTCAGAAGAAAACCTTATATCTCTGTTTTTGAGTTTTTGACATCATTTGAAAACGCCTGTTGCCCTTTACATTGTGTGTAATTTTCATGACGAATGGACCATAAGAAATGGCCCAAAATTACTTGAAAAAAACGTCTGGTTCCATTGACTTTCATTAAAAGTAAAGTAGGTTTTTTTCTTTCTCCTGTAAAGTTATCATTTTGGAGATGCAAGGTTTTCTTCTGACAACAGCGATATACAACAGTACATTATATTCAAACTACTCACATGTAAACATTTTCTTTCAGTGAAAACTGGACAGATTTTTCTTTAAACATATCAAAGACAAGGCGCAGTAGCGTGCTGTGAAGTACATGTAAGAAATGAATAAACAAGTCAACACATACTCTCTTATCCCTTTGTTCCTATCCTCTTTTGACTAGACGAATCAGTCACAAAGCAAAACATGCCAATCCGCGGGAGTCTAAAGCACACTTCTGATCTGTCTGAAAAGAAAATGGAAAGAAAGAACCTTTGAGCTTGGTGAATCAGACTGGACAGGAGTGTGTGAGGGAAGGTCAGCCCCCGCTGTCTGCACACCATTCCGTATGCCTGTGCGCTCTCTGCAGCCTTGACCACCTTCGTCTGTCCACCAAGTCCATTCCTCTCACCTGCTCACTTGTCTATCATCATGTATATCAGTCTTTCGGCCTGTCTCACTGTCTCTTTCTTGGCGTTGATGCCTGTCTCTTACGTGCCTCTGGCCCAAGTGGCTCTGTCATGGCACTGCCAGAGGCACTGGTTGCAGCTAATGCTACCAGACTATGCCAGGAGCTGACAGACTTTCAGGGCCCGAGAGACAGGAGTCATAGCCTTCTGGAGAATTGGGAGCGCAGCTGAATTCCAAAATGTTCCACCACCACAAACAGAACGAACAACATTGAATAGATTATGGGATGCCTCAGAAACCTACAGCCGTAAACTACACTTACTGTAGAGCTTAAAAGGACACTGGTGCAGAAATGAAACATGTAGCCATGCTTTGTAACCAGTTGTACATGTGAGATTTAGAAATCTGTCGTAAATGGGAGACTCTAGAGAGCAATTTTGTGGTTTAAAGATTAGAAAAAGCCTTTTCTGATGATGGACCTTGAAAGTAGGAGGAGCTTTTGAAAAACTATAACTGTTTTGAGTTGGATTTTTGGGGACAGACTGTTTTGAATGCTGTTTAGATGGTGAACACAGAAAGAAGGCAGATACGATCGTGTGCAAAATTTGAACACACCCCAGTCAAATTACATGTTTTGTTGATTTTTCAAATAAAAATAAGCTAATACATTCTCTAAAATACAACATTAAATATGGTATGAAAAACATAACAAAAGCGATGCAGGGATCACCAAAATTAAGCAAAAAATGATGCAGCAAACTCAAAGTAACAGTTGCATGCAGGGAGTGGTGAAAATTAGAAAATCCATCTGCATCCACAAGGCATGTGCAAAAAACAAATTTTAGGGCACAATTTCTACTTATTTGCTGAGTTTAGCATATTGAGGAAAAAACTACATCAAATATAGTGCCATAAGTTTTGCAGATGCCACATTTTATGGTTTTTTTTTATGTTTAGTTCAGCAAATAGACAGTAACTGTCCATTAAATGTGCAGAGGTGTGTTCTCTGAAGTGCACGTGTTAACTCATTTTCACTTAGAAAATCAACAACACATAATTTACCAAGGGGTGCCAAAACTTTTTTGCGGCTATATAACTAGTAACTATTCAAAGCATCATTACATTGGGGAGATTATGTGAATTGCAGAAATTATTCATCGGGGAAGGACAACAAGCTAAAAGCTACAGTTAGCAAGGTAGCTGGCTGTCTAGATACCTTACCTCAGTTTGGCTTATTTTCTCTGGCTGAAACAGCTAAAGCTTGTCTCTATTCCGCTTTGAACTTATTAAGGATATAATCACTGTTTTATTTGATGACTAGCTAAATGTTACATCAATGCTAGCTTGGATGTATTTATTAGCCATTACTTCAATTATGAAGCTAGCAGGCAGGATTGGTCGACACCACAGGGATTCCCAGTGGCTGTATGTTGTATTTGAGGAATGCATGCTGGGTATTGTAGTGAGAGAACCCTGATGAACAAAACAACAGAAAAGATAGCATAAATTCTGTCAAACCGATAAGGCTAAAGGATGTAATGCTGTACAGGACACTGCATAACATAGAAAAAAAACATATTACCAAGCCATGGGCCTGCAGGAAGGCCCAAAGTTTTATTACACACTTCTATAACCAAAGAAAAGCTCCATTAGTTTGCACTGAAGACCCTGTAGTTAATGAATAATAAGCCTTGGTATGTAATACGCCTGGAATGTTCAGGGGTTAAATTCTGGTTTTAGACGGCCACTTTCAATGTGATTAGAAAATTTCTGAAGTGATTTTTGGCCAAAGTGTAGAATTTAAAAATGAGGTACTAATTTAAAACTTCTCCAAAGAAAGATGAGAGGATTCAAGGATCAGGATTTGAAAGGGCTTTGGGGGCTTTACGGTGAAACAAAGAGAAAGAGCTAAAAGGAGCCATTGGGAGAGGACAGAGGGGTGCCGTTACAGACACTCTCACTGTTTTAAGAAGATTGTTGAAGGAAAAAAAATGTGAAAAAAGAACAGTCCTTTCTTGCTTTGCAGGTAATGTGATCACTACATTGGCAATCTAACACCCTCATTAAGCACGGATCAAACAGGCAGGAAGACCCGACAGTGCCGTACTGGAGACAGGATTAGCAGGATGAGAGAGATGTTCTCCCACTAACGGTGAGTGTTTGAAGTCGTCCTGCATGCCTAATTGTCGACCAGTGCAGGCATCCACCTAAAGGTTTGATACTAGCTGATGCGCTAGCACATTCTTAGCCCCAAGCCAAAATGTTCACATGAATTATTTATTACAGCACTTGATGCCATACATGCATGTTCACACGCATGTTTTTGCTTCTGTTGCAGAGCATGTTGAGGATCTTATTCAAATTAATCATTGAAAATGCTATCATTTTTCATGTAAGTAATGACGGTAGTTCTTTTAAAGCTCTTTAAGGAATACTTCACTTCAAAATACTGCTGCGGCAAACACAGAATAAATGCTAGTGGAGATCTGTTAATCTGATTAGCCTAATGCTACCTCCTCCTTGTCTTTTATTCCTTATAAATATCAGCAGTTTGAATATTGTCTTCACAATATATGTGGCCTTATTGTTGACTTGTAAGTAAAAGAAATGAACAAGAGCACTTCTCCAGCACTATACTGTCCAAACGTCATCTCGGAAACATTGGACCCATAAAGTATATCTTGTTCTCTGTTATCAATGGAACCCACGTAACATACTGGGAGCATTGTACTGCCAGGAAAAAAAATGATGACATTTGGGATTTTTCAACACAAGTACAAAAGTCTCTCAGGACTACAATGTGTTATTTTCACAGCAATGTTTCCAGGGTTTGTTCATACAAGCAAGCATATGGGGAACAGGGTTTATGATTATATTTGTTTGTGTGGCAGCATATATTTCTTGCAAATACAGCACTCCTTTTCCAAAGGAGAAAAAAAAAAAAACCGAGCTGAAAATAACAAATCCCATTCTTTAGCACATGTGAATCAAAATGCACACATTTTGCCAGAGGTTGCAGTCTGAGCCAAGGAAACTTAAAAGTGCTTCACATCCCACACTTACAAATGCTTCTACTCAACAACAGGGAACTAACAAAAAAGCAAAAGACACAAACACAGCACCAGCACAATTTACACTAACATCTTTGTTGCCTAACAGTAAAAGCTTATTTGTTTCAGAAGTAGCAAGTCTAGTCATACCTCGCATTCTCTGGAACCGGAGATGGTGTAGGTACATGGCCCTGTGCCGTTGACCAGAACATCTGTGGCCTCGGAGCTTGACGGTTTGTAGTCCACATAGTACTCCTGCAAGGGGGTGCTGAGCGTACGTTCAGTCTCCCTAGACTTTTTCCGGCGCTTGCGGGCAGATGATGAGTTTTCCTGCAGCTGCTTGACGCTGCTTGGATAGCGCTTCCATGACACGTAAATCACCAGGAGGATCATTGCAACCGACAAAAACAGGGCAACACTCCCTGCCACTATCTTATGAAAGGACACTGGCTCAAAGTCTTGTTCAGGAGGAGACACATCAGACTGAGGCGGTCTTGAAGGGGTGGGATGTTGCAAGGACGTGCCCTGGCCCTTTCTGCTGCCTCCAGACTGAAGTGTGGGGACAAATGGAAGGGCTGCATTCAGAGCAGGGGTACCAGAAAGGGTAGATGGAGAACTCACAACTGATGGTGTAACAAGTGTGACTCTGCAGACTCCACTTGCCTCCACAGCATCCATGACCTTCTCACCTTGAACCTCCTTGGGTGAGGCACAAATCATGGGAGTCTCCTTGTTTCCACGGAAGTTTATCAGCCAGGTCACTAGGGGGCAGATGGCAGGCCCACAGTCCCACATGTTTCCAGCCAAACTGATCATTGTCAAGGATATCCAGGCCGACACTGCCTCCTGCGAGACATTAACCAGCTTGTTGGAATCCAGGTTAAGCGTCTGCAAGTTTGGCATGCACTGGTACACCTCCGGCTCAACCTCCTGTAGGTCGTTTCCTGAAAGGTCCAACTTCTGAAGAGATGACCAGGTCCACGTGAGGCCCTCACTCATGGTCCGGATGCGGTTCCACTGTAAGTATAGGGCACGCAAGTTATACAGCTTGGGAAAGTTGGAAAAGTTGATCTTGGAGAACTGGTTATGCTCAAGATGCAGTTCGGTCAGCTTCAGTAGCCCTGACATCGCATTACGTGTGATGCTGCGCAGACGGTTGTAGCCAAGGTCAAGGAATTCGAGATTGCGGCAATCCTGGAAAAGGCGAGACGGCAGGTTCTTCAAGGAGTTAGAACGCATGTGCAAGCTGAGGAGTTTGCGCAGGCCTTGGAACTGGCCTGGCTGCAGAGCCTGTAGTTTGTTGTAGGACAAATCCAGGTTCCTCAGGTTCGGTACCAAGTGGAAGGTGGTATTATGCAGGAGTGTAATCTTGTTAGAGCTCAGGATCAGCTCTTTTAACCTCCTTATTCCTTGAAAGGCCCTTGCATCCACATTAGCAATGTAATTGTGGTCCAGATAGAGCCAAATAAGCTGATTGAGGCCAACAAACTGGCCAGCACGTAAGCTGGCCAAGCTGTTGTAACGCAGGGACAGGCCCTGACACCCACCAGAGAGGTTTTTGGGCACATCACGGAATGCACTGGACTCGCAGTACACAATCTTGCCATCGCAACGGCAGCTCCGTGGGCATGGCTTCTCACCGTAACAGAAATTTGCAGAGAGCCATGCCTGCACCAGCAGTGGCACCACAAACCATCGCCGTCGCATGGCAGAGCCTGAAATCAAGTAAAGAGAGAAAAAAAGGGAAATTAAGTCTTCATCTTTTTCTAGAACACAACCATCTCTGTTACTTCCAAAGCAGCGATTAGCCAGTGTCCATAAAGTGAAGCTATAACACTGCCCGGATTTGAAGCATCACATTCATTTAGGGTGCCACACGGGACTCAATTAACAATGCTGATTGCCTGAATCAATCCTGTCATGGTTTGTTGTATTCATTTTTCATCTCTGGCAATGGAAAACATGCTATCAGAGCAAGCCAGTCATACAATACGGCTGGACATGAGCCCACTGCAGCATGAAGGGAACCGTCCTTTGAGACACGCCGGAGCCATCCTATTAGACCACAATTACAATCTAAATGAGTGTCAGCCAACCAAATCAGTTACATTTCTCTGGCCCTTCAGTTGCCATGCTGCCATTCTTTGGGCTTTTGGGTCACTTTAATCCGCAGAGGAGGACTACGAGTCATGTTTGCATATGAGGCAAGTCATGACATGAGCAACGAAACCATGATTAAACATTAGCTTACTAATCCAAAGGTCTGGGCAAAAAATATGTGTATTTTTGTGTGAAGGTTGTATCCTAAGCCTCATAGCAATGTACTTAGCCAGAAATGGATTTTTATGAGTGGTAATAGATCTTTATCAGCTTCATGTAGATATGAGTGACTCAGAGATCTACTCTTGGTCCTGGTAAATTTAATTATGTGACGCTAGACCATTATTAGCAAGAAATATCCATTATTCCAGGGTCTCAGATGTTATCTGTCTATTATATCAAGTAATAGATAATGTGGGTAGGCCCAAATGGATGACATTGTGATGTGACGGATCGCTACTTCCCAGTGACGTTGCACTGTTTCATAAATCTTCATAAACCAACAGATAATAACTTGCCCAATATTTAATGGCATAATCACTGCTTGTCCAAGCAGTCCAAGCCATATCAAGTAGGAGTGGCACTAAAATTCTCTGTTTGAAAGAAAATACAGAGCTATATACCGTCCACTAGTAGACAGAATAAAAGGTCACTGGGCTAATCTGCAAAATACATTTACACACCTTATTTCCATATTTGGCTCCATGTCACTCAGTGCTAAATGCTAAGGCATTTATGGTGTTTGGCTCTAAAGTGGTCAGTCAGCAGCAGTCTCGGCTGCAAATCTCATACCTATGATTAGCAAATGAATGCACTGACCCAATATACAATCCACTGACAGAGCATATAGAGTGGCACAATGAATATATAGGCAAATGAATCGCAGACAGTCATAAGTCATAATAATTAAGGGAAAAACTAATTAACATTTAAATTGTATGTGCTTATGATGGTTCAACTGTAGTAATGAATGACACATCTTTGAACACTGGTACTGGTAATTAGGCCTGTGCCGGTATTATTCGGATAATCATGTGTAAATTATTTATTAATTATTAGTCATTCTTAATTACATTTTATTTCTATTAAGCCTCAGTTTGCATGTTATCACTTTCTTCGTTCCCATGTCCACTTCAGAGTTAGGGACCATATTAATATGACTGGAAGAAATGATCATTTATTTCTTTATTGTATTATTTAATGTCGCCCTGCGATGGACTGGCGACCTGTCCAGGGTGTATCCTGCCTTCCGCCCAATGACAGCTGGGATAGGCTCCAGCACCCCACCGTGACCCAGAAGGATAAGCGGTTTAAATGATGGATGGATTATTTAATGTTGCTATTAGATGACTATGCTTTAGAAGAATCTGCAGATACACTCCTCCTCCTACTACTACTAATATTAATTGAAGTTTAACCTTTATCAAGTACAAGATCATAAAAATTGTTGTTCTAATACTCTACCATCTTTAATTTGCTTGCAAAATTATAACTAATCTAGTAAAAAAGAACCACCTAAAGCTATAGTGTCTGTAGCCATTTAGCTTTACCTTGTATGAGAGTTCAGACATGACATTGTTTTTCCTGAGACCTGAAGCTGTTTTGTCTGATGTCTGAAACCTGACACTGTGGTCTAAAAACGTTCACTGTAATTTACATGTGGCTTTTTGTGCAACCATGATCTGTTGTACATAAAACTGAATATATCCACATATTACTCAACTATGCTAAGTGAAGGGAACTTTTCTGGTGATTTCAAACACTCAATGGCACTCTTGAGCTGATTCAACATATTGCAATTAAGTTTAGTCTGTTGCCATTGACAACTGTGGAACCATCACATTCAAAGAAACTGCACTGCTGACAGTCGTAATCGTTTCTCTCTTGTTAATGTTACTCAACAAATGTGTATAAATAAGCTTACTTAGTTTCACTGAAATACAGTGGCATGTTTGTTTTGATAACACCATTTGTTGAGTAGAACGTACTTCCTTCCCTTTTGGCTCCTGCCTCAATCTATTTGCATATTTGGTGAATCTTTCTCCTTGTTTTATTTACTATCAATGTGCTTTAATTCCACACAGGCTACTTTCCCTTAGGCTTACGCCAATCATATATATTTAGCTTAGGCATGTGTTGCTAGCTTATAGGGTGAATTAAAGTTCTCTTTGCACCATAGTGCGGCTCTGTGATGGAAAGAAACATGCACTGATGTTGAGCATATTCAACTTAAACTTGCTGGTTTGTTTACCAATGCTTTACTTAAATTTTTAGGGCAAATTTTTGAAGTTATGTGGACTTACTTGTTCAACCAGCTCAGCTCAACAGCTGCATTTACAGAATGGTCTTATCCAGCATCACCCAACAGGTTTAGTTCAAGTTCAATTATATCAAGGTAAGGGGAATGTGGGTGTCTTGCTATGGTTTGTATAGAATAAATAAATAAATAAATAAAAAATAAATAAATAAATAAATAAATGAGTGAGTTTTAAAACTGGCAGTAAATAAGTTACCATTACTGGGGGGCTGTTAGCATGGTAATCTAGTAAACCGTCACCAGCCACAGGACTACTGGTACTGTTAGTATTGTATAGTCCTCTGATTAAGTGGCATAACAGGGAACGTATGGGCCAAAAAATTAATTAAAATTAATGTCCCCCTACAAAAAATTGCTTTTAACAAATAAAAAATGCCACTCCACCCAACAGCATTTAACGTCATCCTAAATGTTCACATTAGACTGCCTATTTAAGATCTTAGAATTAGAATAATTATTCATTATAATGGATATATCAAGTTGTAGGTTGTGAAGGATCCGTTAGAAGATGGTTACCATGGATGAGCTGCATTATAAATATAAAGGAGATAAACAGACATCAGCCCTCTCTGTATACTGTTGATGGAAGATAACTGCTGAGGTATGTTTGGATCTTTTGCTGTGACTCAGAGGTGTCAGCAGTCAGTAACTACTCTTTTACACAGTTTGTCATCCTGCTTTGGGTGGAAACAGACATTTGAGTGACGCAGAGCAGTTTTAGGATCCGTGCATGACCAAGACGACTGTTAAAGCATCCACAGTGATACAGCCTAACCCAGTGCATTACCAGATAATGGCTCTACCTGGGGGTGAAAGAGGGCCATAAGGGGTCTGTCTAATTAAGGGAAATATTAATAAAGCTGAATTATTGTGCCAAAGCCTCCACGTCAATGCACAATAAGCTGCAGAAGGGTTTCAAGCAGATTACTTGACAGCTTCGTTTACGTCAGCGCTAACCGTGAGGGCCTGCACAAAGCGCTCCCCTCGCGCCCTGTTGCGCTGACACGCGCGTGAGATCCGGGAAAGAAAACGCGCCACGACCACGCACGCGGAACCGAACTGGAAAAGCGTTGCGCTTAAAGACGTCGACAATGTCTTCCTCATGCGCGCGCTCGCGCTCAGACAGCCATCCACCCACGCTCGCACGCAAACACGCATCGACACAGGCCCCTCGCGCGCTATTAAAATAAGGGAAAACAGCAACAAAACGCGCGTGTGTTTCAATGAAACAGAAACCCGGTCTGCGCGAGGCAATTTACAGCACCGAGAGAAACAGTCTCTCCGTGCTGACCGCTCGCGCGCTGCAAAGTTGACTCGCGTCCAAACAACGGTCAAAGTGCCGCTGTGGCTCTGCACGAGAGTCAGAGAGGTGAAGGATCTCCATATACACATACGAGTGCTGCCTGCTGCGCGCGCGTCCGGCTTATATCTGGTCGCATGAGCGTGGGTTCAGACGATTGCGCTAAAAAGTTGCACGCAAATACAAACGGCACAACGAGAGAAATGCACGCGACAGGACGGGGCTGCCTGCTAACATGCACGGCACGAGCGCGCGAGGAGGTAGCTGCATTCCACAGGCATGCACGGAAGCTGGACTACTGCAGACTATTGAGCTACTAATAGTGGGTGTATTGATAATGATGATAATAAAACCACCATGCAACTCAGTCTCGAGTCCCTACAAGCAACAGTCCTTCTATTGATTTATTGATTATTGATGAACATATAATACAGTAGGGTAGAAATCCTGGGCCTCGTTGAGAAATGATGGCATCTACAATCTATAATCTATAATATATAATATCACTGGCACGTGCTAGGGCCTCTGTCTACCTCTGCACCCCCCGTCTCCAGTCCTCAGCGCCCCTGTATAGCACATTGCAAGCAGTAGTGCAAAACTATTGGACTATTGAGGTACTAATCATGATTATTATTGATGACGATGATAATAGAAGCGCTATGCAGTTGAGAGAAACATCCTTTCACGACCCGGGCTGTTGCAATCCACCGAGCTTTAGCAAATTATTATTACTGATGATAGTAATGGAATAAAAGTGCGATGCAACTCAGCACTGGATCCCTGCATTAGATGTACTATTGCAACCTACTGGGCGCCCATTGCTCCATCAATAAAGACTATTATTGACGATAATGATGCAATAAAAACACCACGCAACTCAGTACTGAGTCCCTGCAAGCCGTAGCGCAGCACCTGGCCCACTGCAACACACTGAGCTCTTAACAGTGACTTGTATTGATTCATTATTGATGGGAAGAAACCACAGTGCGACCCAAGTCGCTTTCCTCCAAACTCACCCATCACTGTCCACGACTGTCCGCGCGTCTTATGTCCGTCCACGGTCCACCGTCCTGCATCCGCGCTGCCCTCCTCCACACACACTCACACACATACGCTCACGCACGCACACACACACACGCACACACACACACACGCACGTACACCGGATCCTTCACTCCTCGAGCCGCGTCGTCTCCTCGGGACCCGCGCCGCGTGCGCCGGTGCCTCCTCCTCCTCCCCGGCTCTCACCATGCAGCATGTCGCGCCACACAAACACACACACACTCACACAATCACACTCACGCACGCACACAAAAAAGCCACAAAAAGTCCGGGTCCAGGTTTACGCGCGCAAAACGGAACGGTCACGCGCGCGGGTTCTCCTCGCTACTTCCACATCCACAGTGATCTGGTATGGGGGGTGGTTCTGCTTTTGCAGCAAGCAGAGAAAGTCATCCAGAAAAACTTGAGCAAATCCGCGAGAACGCTCCGGGCTCCCTCCGCGGAACCGTCATCACGCGCGCGGATAAATCCACCGTTTTTCCTTCAGGGACGGGCTGAAGACTGAAAAGCGCACTTTGGAGCAGCTGAATGCTCTCCAGCTCCTCCGTCTGCTCTCCTCTGCTCTCCTCCTCTCGCTCCTGCTGGAGGATGGAGGCGCAGCTGGAGTTGGAGCGGTTTAACGAGGCGAGCCGGAGACGCGCCCTCTAGCGGCCAGCCTCGAATTACTGACAACCTGAAAAAAAGAGAATAAAAGCGTGAAAACTGTTACGTAAACAAGCTGAAATAAAGCTAAAATATAAAGTGCGACTTAAAAATGCGTGACGAATAAACACTAAGACAATAACTAGTATAAACAGTGGCAAATACCGTGTCTGCAGTAGACCTGATGCTGATTCACCACGAAGGCGGCACAACTGGTGTTTTCCGGCTGTGACAAGAATCTTAAAGCCCTTAAAATGCTGATGGGTGGTGAATCCCTATTTAGAACTGGCGATAGGCATTGCTGTAACTCCATTCCTGGGGGGCTGATGTCCAGCTCAGATTTACCTGCTCAAACACACCTGATTTGACTCATCAGGCTTAGTAGGTGTGTTTGAGACCCACTCTTTAAGGGTTCTTTAAGGGTTCTTTAGTAAAGAAAAAAGTTCTATATAGAACCATGAACACTTACAAAGGTGAACTATTTTCAGTAACACTTTCTATGAATGTCACCTTTGTAAGCATCTATAAACACATTCATAACATGTTATAATGCATTCATAAGGCATTATAAACATGGCTATAAATATTTATAAAAATGCATTACATGTTATAGCCATGCTTATTATGCATTATGAATTGTTAACATAATACATTATAAGTACTGATCATAACAAATTATAAGAGCTCATGAGTTGTATTTGTCCGCTCTAAGTAAAGTGAAGCGTACTGTACTAAAGCCTCCTCCAGTGTTCAGAGTGAGGCTTCAAGTTGAAGTATTTACTGAAGAATTTACTGAAACACTAAAATTTACACAATAAAGCTCATTACAGGCTTCAAATGTTAGAGTTTAAACTAGTGCTGCCATCAGTGTTTTACCCAATGTGGGAAAGTTAATGAACACCAGTGTTAGCTTGGTACTTGTCTTTACTTTGCACTCTCCAAGCTGGGACTGACTTCTTTGGCACTGACAGTATAACATGTTATCAACACTACTTATAATGCATTATATTAACAATTCATAATGTATAATAAACATGGCTATAAAGTGTAATCCAGTGATTCATTTTTATAAATGTTTATAATCATGTTTATAATGCTGTATGAAGGCATTATAACATGTTACAAATGTGTTGATAGATGCTTACAAACGTGACATTCATAGAAAGTGTTGTTTAGGATGATTGGCTATATTAAATAAGCTATTAAATAAGAGCTTAATTGTCATTCAAAGTTGCTGTGTTGTGTTGGCTACTCATAACATACTACAACCAGTAACCGCAATGTAAAACTATCAGTTGGATTAGTATATAGATTTTATAATGTTTTCATCTGAGAACAAATGAAATGAAACAGCATAACTGGAGTCAAATCTGTTTATGAAACAGTAATAGCAGGTTATGGAAGACTGGAGGGATGGTGAATAAACAAATGAAAGGAAAAGGTACACAAACATCATGGGTGGGAGAAAAAGGGTGTAATGAAATTGATGAAAAAAACTGAGAGAGCAGAAATTGGCAGTTAGTGCAGTACAAATATTATGCAGTTACTTTATTCACTGCATGGGAAAAATGGACCTCACAAAAATTCTTATCCTAGTTTTGGCCCTGGCTATAAGTCTGGGTATGTGGGTGCTGCCCAAAGTGGGGCCAAAATTGGCCTGTGTGGATATTTGATTTAGCCCACTAGAAAAGTACACCTAACCTCACCCCCTCACCCAATGAGAGAAAAAAACACATTTTATTTACTATATAAAACATAGTTAGATTAGATTCTTTTATTGTCCTTCAGAGAGGAAATTTGTTTTTCGCAGCCTGTGCCATTCATACATTGTTCTGTGACATACAAGATCAGACATTTGAAAAATTTCACACATTTGGGTAAACACTATCAACACAAACAGTGTACAAACAGCAAGACCTATCCATAAGATGCACATTTAGATACATAAGGCTTTTATATGTATATAAGGTTTTATATGTATATGTACACTCTTCTGGGAAGGCTCTCCACAATGTTTTGGAGTGTGTCTGTGGGACGTTTAGTCAAAAGAGCATTTATGAGGTCAGGCACTGATGTTGGACGAGAAGGACTGCCTCGCGATCAACGTTCCAATTCATCCCAAAGGTGTTGAGTGGGCTTGAGGTCAGGGCTCTGCGCAGGCCACTGGAGTTCCTCTGCACACACATACACAGTGTCCAGTGTTTAGCGTGATGCATTAAGTCTGCATCTCTTCCTCAGAGGTAGCCTTAGTAATCAGCATTTAAAACCGCTGCCCTTTTGTCCTTTCAGAAATCTAATTTGAGACATGAATATGAGATATATGTTTTAATTGCCGTCCCTTGCTCTTTCAGATCTATGATATCATTCACGGTGATAGTCAAAACAGCCCCAGGCTGCTTCAAGGCTACTGGGTTAGTCTGCAGCAGCCTCCGCTCGCTGTACTTTAAAAAGAGGTCACTGTTAAAATGGGCCGGCCTACCTCTGTCTCCTCCACTGCGTTCTTCTCCCATTCAGCATCTGGAGGAACCACAGATGGTGGAACAGACTGACTTTAAGTGTCTTCCTGGATTTTGTAAGACTTTTACATTGTTTCTGCCATCTCTATTTTCCATCATAATCAACACAGCTGTCGATCATTCTATGAGATGATGTTCCATGCTGTCGGGATAAAACGTCATATCTCCATTTTTGTTGTTTTTCAGTTTTTGACATCATTTGAAAATGCCTGTTGTTCTTTACATTGTGTTGAAATGTCATAATGAATGGACCAAAAAAAAAAAGGTCTCAAAATGACTTGGAAAAAATTCAGTTTCCATTGACTTACATTAAAAGTAAAGAAGATTGTGGGGGTCCACAAGGTTGTGTTCCAACAACAGCGATATCATTTTATACAGCTGAACTGTTACGAACAGATTTTAATGACAATATGAAGTCATATACACTTTGTAGTGTTATGTGTTTAACTATTTATGAGCAGTTATGAGCGTTAAAGAGTTTTACAATTGTATGCAAAAGTTAACTGTCTATAAGGAACAAATATGACATTGTTTCTGGAAATTGTGGTGCACAAATTCTATTTATTTATTAAGTTTGACATATTGGAAAAAATATAAAATATAATTGTGCCATAACTTTTGCACAGGCCACATTTAAAGTTACATTTTTCACAATATGTTAAATTCAGCAAATAAACAGTAACTGTTCATTAAAATGTGTAGAAGTGTGTAGAGGACTTATTTTCACTTAGAAAATCAACAAACATGTAATTTTACATCCCAGCTGTGTCTATGCTACTTAACATACATGCATTCATGATGCCATAAGAATACAATTCATAGGAAGTGTTGCTTTGGATTTTATTAGATAACATTTCTTTTTCACTAGAGGCACAGAGACTAATAATATCAGTGCAGTTTTAGAGTCAGGTTTGAAAAAACCATATTCTGGCTGTCCACTGAGAATATTGATGATGGTACGTTTTGCCAAACCTCAGCACATTTCCTCAAAAAACGAACACTGACCCTCTTGCTCTCGTTTCAAAACACACCAACCTGCATCCCTCGCTTACATACCAATGACCCTCCGGTCCAGCCGATAGGTTGAGCCTTGGTCAGAGATTGGCCTGCTGCCAGAGACTGTCCTGCTGACAGCAGCAAAATGACTGACCTATCCATGCTCCACCTACAAATGCATAGAGAATCATAGAAAAAAACACCAGGCAAAAGTGATGTTGATTGGAACGGACACAGGGTCTGAAAGGGTTAATTGACTTAACCAATGCTTTTCCCACAAATGTGCTTTTGTAGCTGCTGTTGCAAGGTTGGCCAAGCTTTCCCATTCAGCCTGAACCCAACACAATTTATTTCTAAGTTTTTCTTTTCAAATGATATCTATTTTGTATATTGTGTGAAAGATCATACTGGACAGACTTTTTTGTGTGTTATTGAGATTTTGTGGACACTTTATTTTAAACGAGTCCTTTTAGACTCTCAGTAACATGTCAAAAACATATGAGGGTTAGGATTAGGTTTTGGGTTGAGGTTAAGGTTAGGGTTAGGATTAGTGCCAGGGTTATGGTTAGGTTTTGGGTAAGGTTGGGTAAGGTTAGGTTTTGCATAATGGAAGTAACATATTACCAGTACATCTACTTAATGTAAGTAATGTTTCTATAGAACATCTACAAGATATTTACTTTAATGTAATCAGATGCTTCACTACTGCTACTTCACTGATAGTGTTCTTGATGTGTTACTGATACTCAAACTGACACTGACCACTCAAAGTGTTACCGAGATTTTTAGCAAAACATCTGGTTCATAAGCTAAGCAGAATGTTAACCCATTTCAGCTGTTTTAGCATTGCTAGCTAAGTGTTGTTGCCATGTGTACCTTCACTAGATATTGTGGAAGCTATGAGACTTGCAAGTTCTCA